AAAAAAAAAACGTTGTTCTACACACGTATAGCAAAAAAAAGAAAATCTTACCATGGTGCGTAGAAAAAGACTAAAACATTTTTTTTATTATCTTTAACAATTTTATCAAAATTTTTTCCAACAAGAATATGTATTCCATTGACAATTGATTGTTTTGGTATCGGTTGAGATTTAAAATATGGTTTAATTTTTCCTTTATCTAATTGATTAACAAATTCTTCAAATGTTTCTGATGTAAATTCATCATTATCTTCCATACGATATTTTAAACCTTGTAAATCATAACAGACAGTATTAACATCTTCACCAGATTCTTCAAGACCAAATTCTTTTAATAATGATGACAGTTTTTCTTCATCAGCTATAGCAAATGTACGTTTATTTTTATAATTATTAGCTACTTTAAGAACTTTATTTCTCCAGTATTGTGTACGTTCACGGTAATCAAATGAAAAATCAAGATCATATATAACAATACATATTGGACGTCGAGATAAATAAATATTTTGTTGATTTTCTTGTGTTATTATACCAACTAATGGTATTTTATGTTGTTCAATAAATTGTTCAATATCATCTTCAAGTGCATCCTCCTAAAACATACAATAAATCGTACATAAATTTATAAAGGAAGAGGAATGGATTGATAACGATTGAAAATGGTTCTCTCGAGAAACTTGATTTTTTTTATGTCAAACTGTCACATAAGATATCCGGAAGTGAATCCTGATGGAATTAGTACATATAAGTTCACTCAATTTTGAATGTTAATTCAAAGTATGATATCAATTTTCACCTAACTCGTAATTTCCTTATCGAAATCGACTGAATATAAGTAAAAAACAGTTCAGAATGTTGTCTCGAGAACAGTGTTCTTTTAATAGTCAGTGTTTTTTTCTTAATACTTTTATTCTATGTTCAAGCGCTTGAAAAGTACTATCAAACAATATAAAAAGTAGCCTAGTTGGCAATAATATATTGGTACAAGTGTTCAGTAGGCAATAGTAGAACTAGAGATACATCAAAGTAATGTGCTTCATGAGAAGTCATATCGAACAGTGATTTTTTTCAAAATACTTTTATACTATTTAAAAACTGTTGAAAAGAGCTATCGCGCCATATAAATACTAGTCTGATGAATCTTCGGATTGAGAGATAAGAAGAACTAATCATCCTCAACAATCAGGTACAATGTACTTGCGACAGTCATTCACTATTTCAATCGTTCGAGACACAGCACAAACGCGTGTTATAGATCTAATGCTGTCAGGTATCACTTTGGAACACTCTGAGTAAGAGTTTGACATGACAGAAATCATATTTCTGTAGAGAACCGATTTCATCAGTTATCAAATTGTCTCCTTTTTCTTTTTGTTTTTGAATTACTTTATTGAAAATGAATTTCTCATTTTCATATTTTGATCGAACATCAGGATGATGTTGAAGAATAATTGCTGGTGCTTGTACATCATTTAATGTTGATAATTTTTCAAATGTATGTCCAAATTGAAAAATTTTTCGTTTTTTATATGCATAATCAATAAATAATTGATATAAACGATCTTGTTCATTATTAAAAATACCTATTATAATTGGTTGATCATTTCTTCGAAATAAACTTTTATAATCATTTATATTTCGTAGTTCACGACTTGGTAATGATAAAAATTCTTTCATATATGAAACAATTCCATGTTCAGTTCTTTGTTCACCTTCATAAATTGTTCGTTTACCACCTTTACGATAAACAAATAATGATGGATATCTTTAGAAACAAAAAAAAAGAAGATCAAATTCAAAAAAAAAAATTATTTAGTTTTTTTTATCATACCCAGTGATATTATGTGTAGCAGCTAATTCAGCTTCAACTGTAGCATCAACTTTAGCTAAACGAATGTTTGTATCTTTTTTTAATAATGTAGCTGCTTTTTCAAGTTTCGGTTCAAGCCTTTTACAATGACCACACCATGGAGCATAAAATTCAACTAATGTTAATTCTTCATTAACAATAAATTGTGTAAAATTTTCACTTGTAAGAATAACAACATCTGATGGTGGTGGTGTCCAATTTGGATTAGCAAAATCTTTTATATAATCAGCTATAGCTGAACCTGGTTGACGAGGACCTTCATAATCAATTGGTTTTGGACTATTTCTATGAAAGATTTTTAATGTTGGATAACCTTCAATAGAATATTCTTGTGCTAATATTTGTTCAACTGTAGCATCAATTTTAGCAAAAGCTACAGGATTTTCAGCATCTTTCATTAAACGTGCAGCTTGTTCATAATGCGGTACTAATTGTTTACAATGATGACACCTTAATATAAAATCAAAATTAACAAAACATTGACATTTATTGATATTTTATTAAAGGGATTTTTTTTTTACTGAAATAAAAATAGTCTGACGAGAGAAGTCTTCCAATTGGTTAATATTTATTTATTGAGAAAGTTTCATATCTTTTTGGTTTTCCTATCCTACTGTAAAGCCTATAGTAAAAGCATAGTCTTTGAAATAGCTAGCAAAAATCTTTTAAAATATTCATGTAGCTGAAAGAATTTTCTATTAGAATTGGTAGGCCCAAAGAGTCCAATAAAACTGCTTGGATGAGGACCAGCAAAAATCAAAAACAGTTTTCTGGCTTCCATTTGAAGCTTTTGGAAAAACATTTTATTTGATAGAGTAAATAATACGCCTCCGTGACCTTCCTGCATTCAATTTACAGAAGGTCCCGAAGCATCAAACAACAAAAAAATGCATCTTAGGCCTTCCATAAATTGAATGCAGGGCAATCATGGAGACATATTATTTTACTTAGAATTATTTTCTCTATCAAATAAAAACTTTTCCCAAAAGCTTAGAATGAAAACCAGAAAGCTGATTTGGAGAAGGAGGGGTCTTGGTTTTCCACAGATCCTCATCCACATGGTTTTATTGGAATCTTAGGGCCTAGCAAATTCTAATAGAGAATCATTTCGGTTACACAAATATTTTTTTCTTTAGACTCTTGCCAGCTATTACTACCAGAAAAAAAGCTAAAAAACACAACTGTTTTAAACTTATATCCGCCACTATGCATCAGCAAATTTTATCTCCTTATTTCAGAAAAGAAGCTAATCAAAAGATCTGAAACTTTCACAATAAACTATTCTTGTTAAGTCATATCTCTGTATAAAGTTTCAAGTCAAAATTCAAAAAGAAAAATATTTTTTCTTATATTCCTAAGAAGAACCATAGCATTGAATATAAAAATGCAGTATCTGTCTGATTCATTATTTACGAAACTTTCCTCGTAAGTTCTTTTACTGTCTTAATACAGTAAAGAAAAAAAAACAACAATAGTTAAGAAATTCAAATCATAATATTTACCACGGCGCATAGAATTCAGCGATTACTACTGGATGTTGTTGAATAAATTGTGTAAAATTATCTTTGCTCAAATCAATCACAACATTTGGACCAGACAGTATGGTATCATCTCCATCCGGCATTACGAATTCATCAAATGCAAATGCTAATAAGCAAGTACAAGCTAGTAGCAGAATAGAACGCATTCTATAATAAAATCAAATAAGCGAGATTAACCTCAATAAATAAAAATAATGTCTAGTTTTTTTTAAAATGATGTTTTTAATTAGAGAGACTAGAAAGAAAGAAAGAAAGAAAGAAACGAAAAAAAACAAAAAAAATGAGAGAAAAAAAAGAAAAAAAAAAGAGAAAAAACACAATGTGAAACAGAATGGTTTTTTTCTATTGAGTATTGAGATATGAATAAATTTAATCAATAAGCTTTTTAGCTTTAAAATATCGTCGTAAATAGAGTACTTGCCATATGGCTAAACTCATAAGACAACACATTGAAAAAATGGAAAAATAAAGAACTTTATTATTTGTTGATTCATTTGTATCTCGCATTTCTTCTTCACGTTCTTTCATATAAGCAAAATCAGATACAATTGCAGCTGATAAATCTTCTAAACGACTTAATTCAACTTCTAATGGTTTAAGTTTATTGGCTTTAGCTAAAGCATCATAATCTTTTGTTTCAATACCATGTTTTAATTGAAGCGTTACTTCTTTTGTAGTATGTTGAGGCGATAAATGATGCTGTTGACCATGAGGTGATTTTGTTTCAAAACATACTTCAAATATATCAAATTCTTCTGTTGTAAATGCAAATCTTCCTTTAGTAGCATCTTCTTTATTATATAATATATGTCCTTTAGTATCTTTTACTTCAAGATGTGTCGGTAAACCAGAACGCTCAGTTATATCATAATCACCAGTAACCATAGTATCCTAAATTAAAAATACAAAAATATGAATGAAAAAAAATTGGGAACACTGTGATATTGAATAAATAAGTAACATACTTTGTGAATTTCTTCTTTTAAACATTTTTTTGTACTAATCGGTAAATTAAAACTGATCGAATATGTATATTCAATAAGAAGGACGAAAAATGTGAGAAAACTAAGAATATATTTCATCGATGTTAGTAATAATGAAATAGGACGCGTTGACAAAATTGACACAATCTATCGATGGTTCACAATATTTTGCCAGCATACCACGTACATCAGGTCAGAATGTTCAAGAATTTCACCAATCATAAGTTGAAAATATGAAAAAAAATAGAATGAAATAATTTGTTTAATTTTTAAATTATTATTTGAAAATTTTTTATTAAAAATACAAATTACAATAAAACAAAAACAACGGAAATAGATGGCGCTAGTATACAATGGATAGAATTGATATAATTTGACGTCTGTTTTTTTTTGTTTGAATATATAATTACTGTGTGATAATAATTATATCAGTAATTACGTATTCCTTTGGGAAAGAATAATCATATATTTTGATAATACACAGAATTCTCTACCATCCGATACATGTACATTCTGAATTGCACTTGTTCGCTAAAATAGAAATTCAAGCACAGCGAAAGTACTCTCATGTTCAGATTTTCCAGAAATATATTTTTTATTCCTTTTTTAAATTTATTCTATAGTTTTACTAATCTTGATTTTCAATTATTTGATGGCAAGTATTTCGAATATTATTAATATATCCTCACTTTCAACTACTCCATCATATAACTCATTTAATAGCCCACGAATGGTTAATTACTGATCAAATGAGATGTATGAATAACTATTCATCTGTCAGTGTTGATCTTAATGTTATTCAAAATTTTTTGTCGTAGATGAACCACTGTGCACAGAGATATCATCCAAATTTTCAACAACATTTGATGTAGGAATGTGATATATGAGTATCTTAACAATATTTGAAGTTTTCATCAGCAATTAATTCGAAAGTCAAAACTGATAAAAGTATATAGTGATAGAGAATTTCATGTATTTGAAGAATATATGCTTGCTTTGATAATAGCTTGTTCTGATAAAGTAAGGAAAGTTAGCAGCCGATCCGAGTATTTTTCACGACGATTCGTCTGAGAGACTAAGCCACAAAAGAAAACTAGTAAGCCACCTAGAACTCGATCAGTTCTATCTAATCATGTCATCAGATCCCCCGAAACTTACAGATGAACGCCAAAAAAACCAAAACAATCAAAAACATCCATAGCTCAAAACTATCATTTTTCGTAAAAACTATGACGATTTTCCTGAATACTTAAGCCACTCATGAGTCATACGTCAATCGACGCAGAATTTCATGCTTTATCCAATGGCATATAAATTATTTCGATAAAAGTCTCTGATAATCAACTGAGTTTCTGAAAAGTCTCAAAAATATGATTTTCGCAAGTATTCCCTCTGACGATTCACACAGAAGCTTAAGCCACTTTTGAAAATCATACCATTCAATGCAGAATTTCAAGCTCTGCCGAATGATATACAACTTGCACACTTCACCATTAGTCATAGAGGATTTTGACACCAAAAATCAGGAAAACTTGGAATTTTGTACCCATCAATTCCTCTGACGATTCATTCAGGTACTTAAACCACCCACGAAACATGTATCATTCGATGCAAAATTTCAGTCTCTATCGAATGGTGTATAACTTGCAGAGTTCACCATCAGTCATAGAGGGTTTTAACCCTAAAAATCTCGAAAAACTGGGAAAAGTTGAAATTTCTACCCATTAGTTCTCCTGACGATTCGTTCAGACACTTAAGCCATCGACAAATGATATACCATTCGATGGAGAATTTCAAGCTCTATCGAATGGTGTACAATTTTCACAGCTTATCATCATTCATAAAGAGTTTTGACCTAAAAAAACTTGAAAAACTACGTAAAGTTGAAATTTCTACTCATCGATTCTCCTGACGATTCGTTCAGATACTTAAGCCACCGACAAAACATATATCACTCGACGCAGAATTTCAAGCTCTATCGAATGGTGTACAATTTGCATAGCTCAGCAGCAATCATATAGGGTTTCGACCCTGAAAATCTTGAGAAACTGCGAAAAGTTGAAATTTTTCATTAATTTTCGTGATCATTCGTTCAGGCACTGAAGCCATTGACAAAAGATATACCATTCGATGGAGAATTTCAACCTCCATCAAATGGTGTACAACTTGCACGGCTTTCGACCATTCATAGAGGATTTTGACCTTAAAACTTTGAAAAACTCCGAAATGCTGGAAGTTCTACCCATTGATTCTTGTGACGATTTGTTCAGGTACTTCAGCCATCGATGATACTTGCAGGATTCAATTCAGAATTTCACGCAGTATCGATTGGTGTATATGTCGCATGGCTGAAGGCGTGTGAGAGTCCATCTCGAAGGTCAACCGATGAAAAGTCGGGAAGGTTGGTATTTCTCTCTAATAATTCTCGTGAGGATTCGTTGTGATATATAAGCTGCTGAGGAAACATATTTCTTTCGGCGCAGAGGTTGACGCTCTTTCCAGTAGTGCACAGCTTGTATGGCTAAGGATCAATCTGATAGGAGTTTGATGCATAGATATCCTAGAATTATAAGACAAATTGGAATTTCTTCCCATTAATTCTCGTGATGTTTCGTTGTAGAACATAAGTCAAGGGTGAATTATTCCGCATCTAATTCAGATTTTACAGCCTCGTCCAATAACAGCTCATTTCGGTGCCAAAATATAAATTTCAAGCGGCTGTGATACAAAAGAGACTCGAAGTATAGTGAAAGGTGGTAAGCCTGAGAACCAATTATCAGAACTATTCGTCGAACTGAATAAGCCACTGGAAGATTACGAAGGATTCGATAATCCTACGAAGACTGCATCGGGTATTGTATCATTCGTCAGTGACTTATATAGTCGAACGAATCGTCAGGAGAGTTAGTGCAAAGAGAACTCAATTTTTCTTGTACTTCCAACGTTTGTATGGGAAACTTCCTATTCAATTAATGGGTACGCATGCAACTTATACTCTAGAGGATCAGCCGTGAAATTCTGCATGCAACAGTGTATGCTTCGTCAGCTGCTTAAGTACCAAAACGAATCGTCAGAGGAATTTATGGGAAGAAATTCCAACATTTCGCAGTTTTACAAGGATTTTGGAGTCAAAACCCCATCTCATTGATACCAAACCGTGCAAGCTGCAGACTATTCTATAGAGCTTGAAATTCTACATCGAATGGTATATCATTTGTCGATGGCTTAAGTGTCTGAACGAATCGTCAGGGGTACTAATGGATAGAAATTTCAACTTTTCCCAGTTTTTCGAGATTTTTAGGGTCAAAACCTTCTCTGACTGATAGTGAACTGTGCAAGTTATACACCATTCGATAGAAATTGAAATTCAGCATCGAATGGTACATGTTTCGTGGGTAGTTTAAGTACCTGAATGAATCGTCAGAGGAATTGATGGGTACAAAATTCCAAGTTTACCTGGTTTTGATGATTTTTGGTGTCAAAATCCTCTATGACTTATGGTGAAGTGTGCAAGTTGTATATCATTCGGCAGAGCTTGAAATTCTGCATCGAATGGTATGATTTTCAAAAGTGGCTTAAGCTTCTGTGTGAATCATCAGAGGGAATACTTGCGAAAATCATATTTTTGAGACTTTTCAGAAACTCAGTCGATTATCAGAGACTTTTATCGAAATAATTTATATGCCATTGGATAAAGCATGAAATTCTGCGTCGATTGACGTATGACTCATGAGTGGCTTAAGTATTCAGGAAAATCGTCATAGTTTTTACGAAAAATGATAGTTTTGAGCTATGGATGTTTTTGATTGTTTTGGTTTTTTTGGCGTTCATCTGTAAGTTTCGGGGGATCTGATGACATGATTAGATAGAACTGATCGAGTTATAGGTGGTTTTCTAGTTTTCTTTTGTGGCTTAGTCTCTCAGGCAAATCGTCGTGGAAAATACTCGGATCGGCTGCTAACTTTCCTTACCTATTCTAATATTTAAATAAATTTGAAAGAGGAACAGAAAATATATCTTCGGAGAATCTAGCGATGAAAATCCCTTCGTTTTACTTGAATTTCTATTTTAGCGAACAAGTACAATTCAAAAGTTACACACAAAGGATTATAGAGAGTTCCTTGCACTATCAGAATATTAATTTATAGTAATGATATGTTAAAAATATTAGATCTAACTTTTTTTGCAAGGGCAATATATGCAACAAAAATCTGAATGTTAAACAGATAGTCAGGAGTAGTAATAAAACAAAACATAAAAACATTTGTACATCTAAATTTTCTTTTCCTATCATTTCAGTAGCAGAGTCAATTTAATATTTGTTAATTAAATTATTCAGCTTTGATTCCGATCATTCTAGATACGGATATTCACGAATTTTTTCTTGTGCATTATGCTTTCTCACTTCATCGTATCATCTTAATAAATTTTTGTTCACTTTTAATATGATGATGTATGTGTTGCTTCCTTCAATGGTTTTTGTTTTCTATTCATGTCACAGTATATTTTTAGGTTGAACTAATCTTATAATATTAATTGGTTGATGGTGAATCGTAAATTTCTAGTTTTAGATTTAAATTCTAAGTTTCTAATGTTGGATAAATAGTCTTCTTTAAAAGCTTACCGCTTTTTGAGGTTTCTTAGGAACGGCTCTAAGAAAAATTATGAAATCTTCAAGGCAGATAGGCCCCGAGGAGTAGAGCAACAGTTGCCACACACTCAAAATTTCCAGATGCTTCCTTCAAGGAGAGACGGTTGTCGCTAAGCAAAAAGTTGTCAGAAGTTCCTTTCTTCCGTCATTTGATTTTCCAGTGAATATCTTCCACTGAATTCAAGATTCAGTAAAATAGCCATAACTCAGCTCTAAAGGTCCATGGTCACATACACTTGTAGATGTTTTCTAGCCTTATTGAGATCTTGTGAGCTCCATATGAACTTTAACGGCAGACTAAAGTCGGATAGTTCTGGCTTAAGTGAAGACTGAAAAACAAGGAATCAGTCAACTGGCTAAAGACCAAAATATGGCGCTATTAAGAATAAAAAAAACTATTGGATTGTGATCCTCTTTCATTTCAACACATACACAGAGAACAGACCGATCAAAATAAGGTTTCATTTCATTAAATAACTCAGCTGATTGATTAAAATCTTTAGCTTGAATGGTAATAAGTGATAGAACATTGACTTGAACATATCAATATAGAGAAGAAACAAATCATTTTTATAGAGTACATCCCTATCTAGTGTTGTCTTGAACTAATATTTCTAGTAGATTTAATATATAATTAATGGCTTAGCTGTTATGATAAAAAAGAATTTAATTGATATTATAGTATGTAGTTAAAATTCTCATGTTTCGAAACCAACAGACAAATTGCTAGTTTTAAGTGTCACTTTATCTTCTTGTCTGATTCCAAGTGCTATGTACATACTTTTTGATTGTTTTTTTGGAGACAATACATCTTGTACAGCTTTCTTCGCTCTGTCGAATTTATAGATAATCATTGTTGGCCCGCATGTTTTTCAACATCGTTTTCCCGAAAAACGCCAAAAATCTTCCAAAATTAATACATAGATATTAATCGTTGAAATTCATATTCAACAAGTTATTAGAGAAAGTCCAAATAAACAGTTTTGTAGGTCAAAACTTGTTCTATTTTTTGAGATATTAGTCGATTCCATTTGTTTGATATATAGAAAACAAACATTACACACTGAGAACAGCAAGTAGCGAAACAATGAAATGGAGTTCCATTGACATATGCCTAGTGTTTTCTTCATAATTATTGAGCGTTCACTCAAAGAAGACTAGAATTTTGGGTTCATAGATTGTTTTACATGCTCTTTCATTTTCAATGATCAAAAAAACTATGTCAACGGTTTTTGTATGACAGTCATAGGTTTGTTTTTTGAAAAGAACGTTATTTTGGGTGAAAGCTATCGAGTCATCGGAGTATTACGAAACTTTACTCAAAATTTGTAAAAAAAATAAGGTTTCTGGTTCAATTTCTATGCTCTTTCAAATTATTTGATTCATTCGAGAAATTAAAGTTTTTTTGGCCATACTTTTAGGTAATGGTGTCATGGGTCCTCTCTTAATAGATCTTTTCAGAATTAGAATGCATTCAATAAAATCCTGTAAGATATTCAATAACACAAACGTAACAAAAGAAATTTTTCTTTCTACTAATGCTATTTTTCAAAAGTACCTAAAAACAAATCAAAAACAAAAAAAGAAAAAGAAAACAAACTAATTTCTACGTTCTGCACGAAAAACAATACGAATTACAAGAACGTGAAAAATTGTACAAAATCGTTTCTATCATTCTAATGTTATTAAATACGTGGTGATAACATAACATAACGATCATCATGAATAATTGGTATTGGTGTTTTCAAAGGTACTAAATCTGATTGAATATTATCATGGTCATCGAGTAATTGTGTCTTATAATTATTAGAACGTTGAGGTAAATTATTAATACGAATTTGTCGTTGTTTTTGCCAATGATCCCAAAGTGTACAAATAAGTTCACCAACAAGAACATCGTTCATATTTGCATTAACAATACGTAGTCTTAAAAATAAAAATGAAAAAAAGATAAATTTAAATAAGTCATCAATAATAAATAAGACTTATACTTACAATAAAATGCCATCTTGTCGACAATATCGATCAACAAAAGTTGGAAGCATTTCAGTTTCAAAACGTGTTGGATTTTCCAAATAATAATCAATTCGATTTACTTTTAGAAAACGACGAATAAAATTTTTACGTGATTTTAAAGTAAAATAATAAAGCCACTTAACTAAACCATAGATAGAAATAATAGAAACAAAAGCAAGCCAAAACCAAATTATTAAAAAAATCTAAATATCAAAAGAATTTATTTATTTTTGTTTTGTTTTTACTCTACTAAAATTATTCGTTTTACTTTTTCGTTATAAATATTCATCGGTAGAAGACATTGAACATCATATGGTTGAATATTATCACCAAGTGTTCGAAGAATAAATCGACACATAGTTATGCGTGGAAACTTTTCAATAGCTTCGATTTTTTGACCATGAAACAATTTTTGAAGAACTTCAAAACCATACAAATGTAATCGATTACCCATAAAAATATTGAGAAGAAAAAGTTGACCAATAGCATTAGTTATATAAAGTAATTTAACAAGAATATAACCAAAAGCTAAATAATTTCCCGAATGTTGACCCAAACCGCAGCATAATAAATTTGGAAAACGTTTCCACGTTCTATACCTAACAATAATAAAACCAAAGTTTTTTTGAAAAAAACAAGATATATGTGTATATATATATAGACCATTTCAAGCAAAACAAGACATACTCACCTTTCATTTGACTTTGATTCTTTACAATGGTTATTTTTCTGAATAAGTTCTTTTAACATAGGCATACAGTGAGTATTAAAATTATTCAACAAGATTTATTTTCAATGGTATTCCCTTACTTTAAGCGCTAGAAAGAATTCAAATAGTGATTCGAGTAGAGAAAATTGGTTGCATCAGGAATATAGGGAAACTACTTTGAACGACAGAGTAAACAATTCTCTACAAAATAAGATGTCTCCGAATTCTTTAAGACGTTTTTTAGGTGAGATACAGCAATTTTATTGAAGCTACTAAAATTATTTTTTGTACTATTTCTTATAGAGAAGCCATTTTTTGATCTTCAATCAAAAAACGTCACAGAGAACTTGAAGACATCTCATTTTGTAGAGAATAGTTTAGCATTCTATATTGTCTAAATAAAATTATACTAACGCGTTCGAGGTGTTGAAAAACTAGAGTTTGGATTTTTTTTGAAACCTTTATCTTTGAAAACCTGAAAACCATTTTTTTTTTCATTTATATTCTTTTTTGGAAATAGTTTTCTCTATTCGAAATCTTTCTGGCACTTATGATAGCGAAAAAAAATTGCAAATAAACCTTGTTGAATAATTTTGGTACTCACTGTATGTAAAGATATTTGCTCTGTCAGTTAACTATAAAGCAATTAGCGAATGTCTCTCGAATTGTATGAGAAAGAAACTTGAAAACTTCAGGATAAACTCCACGACACAAATCGCATCTATGATGAAATTTTCAGCAAGATCGAACTTTCAAAAATTAGTTTTCTAGATGTCCTATAAGCTCGCGAAACAAAAATTTCTTGTTTTACCATCATCTAGAAATTCCGACGAAGAATTTTTTAGTTTGTGTATATTGAAACTCTGGCACATCGCTAACGAAAAGTAGTATCGAATTTTTTTTTTTGAAAAATCTAAACAACATGTTCAAGAAAAACTTTGAATAAAAAATTTTGTAACCTCAGAAATTATCTACCGAACATACTATCTTCAGAAATGCTGCCTCAATTCGGAGTTTTTTTTTAAAGTAAACTGCATGAAGTAAAAGTCGATATCTCTTTTTATCTCACATCACTAACGCTAGGTTTTTTTAGTGATAAATTCTCTGAACAAAGGTCTCTTTGGCACTGATTTTTTCAGAATATCTAGAGTAACTGAATATTCACGTAACATATAAAAATTAATGTTCGGAAAGTTTATTATTTGTAGATGTAGATGTTTTAATTTTGTTGAAGTCACATCACTAATGAATAAGTATGTCCATATACTTACATAAATCCATGATGATAATCACGATGATAAGTCAATGCATTATCGATATGTTTAACTAATGTATCCATAGCATCTTTTCGATTTTCACTAATTAATGGATCCATATCTGATATAATACTTGTAATAACTTTTGTATCAATTCCACAATTTCGATTTATTCTTCGCCAAATAAAACCAGGTATATAGCAAAGTATCATCATGACAAAAAGAATAAATGGTACCCATTGATAATATGGACTAAAATAATAATAAATGAAAAATATTTTTTATTTATTCATTTTTGTTTTTTTACAAACATTTTTTCAGGTCGTGATTGATTTCGATTTGGAAGTGGTTTCTCAAATGGTAAATAATAAGATGAACTAATCCAACAAACCCAATTTACATAATCGATTTTATGTTTATTATCGACCATTTGTGTAAAACAATGAATTGGATTACCAACAAAATGTGCTGTTGTAACAATAATAAAAGATATACCAAAGAGAATCATAGAATATCTTCGACTAAGTCGATCAAAAAAATCATCATTTCTTATACTTGGTAAACCGAGTTTACTAAATGCTTCAATAATAGGATAGAGCATTTTGAAGAGTACGATCTTGTATCGAACACTGAATTAATTTTGATATGACGAAATAATAAGAAAAACACGACTAACTATACAGTCACATTATTATTCTTCTTTTCTTTTCTATTACAGCAAAGCATGCATTTTTGTTTTGTTTACCTCCCATTAGATCATTCAACAAAGAATTACGACTGACTTTATCTACCAGAAAAAAA